GTTCTAATCTCTATTGTCTCCTCTTCCTCTTAGGTGTACTCCGACCAGGGCTGGCAAATGTCATTTTCAATGAAAGATCTCACGCGATATTTACAGAGATACTTCTGTCACTATCATCAGATGAGAAAACGATGATAGAGATTTTCTTCAAAATCTCATCGAATTTTTCGTCATGACAAAACGTGACAGTGTTGTGATTATCGTAATTACTAGCTCATTTATTACTTTTAAAGTTACTTGTACCGAAAAAATCGTAATAATATATTCACTCTACCGACAACATACGGTTACATGCTTGAATTAATCTAAATCAGTTAGAAATGTAGATGTAAAAACCGTAATAGAATTATTCTCATGAGTGCTTGATCATTGGAAAATGACAAGAAAACGAATGATAGATAGTTTCGTCTCGTGATAGTGAGAGGACCTGTTTTCTCATCCTCACATGACGGCGGTGATATTTATCAGCTCTGACTCCGACAATAAGGCTATCCACGAGACAGTTGCGATCAGATGACTTTTTTGTTTACCAAGAACATTTGACAGATCACAGAACTGGCAGTTTATTCCTGGGGGGGACGTGCTGTCAAATCAGCCTACTGATCATCTTGTATGAAACTGGTTCCAAACGTAAACAAACGCTGTAGGTTTCTTATGGCTTGTTTACGTTTAGAACCAGTTATGCGAGGTAGGCGACGATTGTTCGTATTTGACAGCCTCCTCCCCCCTTGGTTTATTCTCATATGAATTTCTGCTTTGTTAATAGACCTTTTTGACGTTTAATCGTCTTTCTCTATCTAGCACACATGGATGAATGGACGGTTTGTTTTCCCACTAATCTGTTTCCCTCTTGCTCGTACTCGTTCGATTTAAATGGTGCAGTAGTTTGCGCCGATTAAACGTCAAAAAGCTCTATGTTTACATTCAGCACCATTAACACCAGATCACCCACACACTCTAAATTTCTATCTGTCAGTTCCACTGAGAAATGTCTCTGAAGCGAGAAATGCTCGCTGCACATCTCGGATTTCAAGTGTATAAATTCATTGGTGTTGATTCAAATGATAAGATTTACCTGCTCTTTGCATGTCTACAGTAAACTATGATCCTAATCTATCAATTACTTTAAAGAAAACTAAATTTCAACAATTGAGTGAAAAGTTATTCACAAATGATGAAGAGAATCAATCAATGCAGATATGACCTTTTGAAATGTTTATCTAGATATGAATTTCTGCTTTGTTCATGTTTACATTCAGCACCATTAACACCAGATCACTCACATACTCTTGATTTCTAGCTGTCAGTTCCACTGAGAAACGTCTCTTGGATCACCTTATTCTTAAGTTTATTTGCCTCAGTGAACGCCTCCAGCAGCCCTCATCTACCCAATCTTCTGGCACGGCCATTGGATCTTGAAGCTGCCGTCAGTGATAGCGGTGGCGTTGATGTTGGCATGATTTTAAGAATCGGTCATAGGTTACCATCATTATGGTTTGCCGATGGGATTCACCCATCCGAGTATGAACAACCGATAGCACGGTCATTGGTTCTTAATGCTACCAACAGGTGGAAACTAACGATTTAAAATTGACTCACACTGCACTAGCCTATCGGTCTAAAGTACATGTACAAGCGTACCCCATTCTCTTCGAAATTCTAGTATTACACTATGTTTGTTTTGATAATGTGACACATAAAATGAGGGGTTCGTGGATTTTTCTATGTTTCGAGGGGTGCATCGATTAGCTTGGGACCGAAGATAGTACCAGAGCTCACAGCAAAAAAAAAAAAATGTAATATCGATCAATGTAATTCAAGCTGATGTATGAAATAATGATATAATAGCAAAAAGCAGATACAATATTACATCAATGGATGTAATTTTGTTCGCAAAATCGATGTACATCGTACAACGTTATATTACACAACCGATGGATTGACCTGGTTGCAGCAGTTTGGATGTTATATTCAACAACTTTTTTTTCTGTGCTGAGCCAACAAGTTGAGCACGTTTCTTCGGGACCATCTGATCTTAGAGCTACCTCTATGGTATCTCCCCACTCCGGATCGGATCTCCCTAATCCGACATTAGTAACATTGATTTAAATGGACTTGACAGTCAGATTAACAAATTTGTCGGATTTGCGGGGGATACTGTAATAAGTACGCTCTTACTCGCTGCAAAACCGATTCTTTCTTTCACAGCAAAAAAATAATTTTGATATCACATCAAAGTGGATGCACTACAATCATGTCGAAAATTTCATGTAATTTTTATGACCACATAAATAAACAAATGCAGTAAAAGCAGCGTAATGTCAGTTCATGCATTGTATTAATGATAATTTTGTCCTTTTTAGCAAGTAATATTACACCATATTTTCGACATGATTGTAGTGCATCCACTTTGACGTGATATCAAAATTATTTTTTTGCTGTGTTTGTCATCATCGACGATAATAGCAATAGCGTTGAAATCACCGAAAGCATCATCGCTCAATTCTTATTTGTTTTGACTTATTCGATGACAATCACATATTTTCGTTTTACAAATCGTTTGGTTCTGTTCTGTTCAAAGACACACGAGACTACAAAAAAAAAGTTTCATAAACTTATTATGAATTGTGCATACGACTGAAAATCAAACCGAAATTTCTCGCTGGCATCACTGGACTTCTATTTAATGTTAATTTTGACGTCGGACGCTCGTTCCGGTTTGGTGGGCGTACGACAATGAGATAAATTTTAAGCATGGATTTTATCCGCATTCACCCTATTCAGATAACCCTTCTGAAACCTGTGAGTTTGACAGAACCACCAGCACCAAATTATCGGGGTACACTGGCAATATACTGGAGTTGTCAAGTTGCCCCCGGGTTGATAGTGACAAACCTCTTGGATTAACCAAGAGTATTTTACGGCTGTCGAACCCTCTAAATTCAGTTTGAATCCAACATATCTTCGATTCTAGTACCTATGGGATTTGACGTTTTGGTACAGAGACATATTCTGATTGAATGGCAAAATTAATAGGCTGCTTCGATCTCGGCTTCGATATTCCATCAACATGAATGTTCTCCAAATCAAAAATAGAATTACTGACATGCAACACGGCTTTTTCAAGGGTCGTTCGACCTCGACCAACTTACTTGAATTTATAGACTATTCATTGAATGCAATGGATAATGGAAACCACGTAGAAGCTCTCTATACAGACTTTAGCAAGGCATTTGACCGCATTGAAACATCATCGCACAAATTATGCAAAATATGGGCCATTAAACCGCATGATGGCCTCTTACAATAAACACTGCGAAACCATTGACTTTACAATGTCTCGGCATAAACTAAAGCAATATTTTTATTCCATAAGAAATAACAACTCATAAAAGAAAAGACAAGAAAGCTGACACTACTTTTTTATATAAATATATATTTAAGAAAACAAAACTGTATTAATTGTACTAGTCTACGTTGGTTGACGAAATAAATAAATAAATAAGTTTCAAAATGCGATCTTTAGAGTAGACTGGCCCACAAAAATAAAAGTTCAAATTTTCCATGCGCCAACCTCTAGATTTGTGCCTTCAGGTGAGAAAACCATTCTCTGAAAGTTTAAGCTCATTTGGACGAGCTGGCGCTTTTAGTTTGAAATTTATATGGGGAATTTGGATAAAATACATGAAAAAGGACATTCCTACACCAACAATCAATACGAAACTAACGATTTTAAATTGGCTCACCACTTTAGTAGCCTATTGGTCCCAAGCAAACGATTAACGTACCCTATTCTAGTTGAAATTCTATTACTACACTATGTTTGTTTTGATTCGCTATGAAAGTTTGACAGATAACATCAGGGGTGTGTGGAATCATGCAGAACATGCAGGGGTGAGTGAAATAGCTTGGGACTGCTTGGGACCGTTGTTCTGGTACTGAGTGAGCCAAAAATAATAATGATTTTCTTCGGGACCCAGTGGTCTTAGAGTTACCTCTATGCCTACACTCTATCGATCGTAAAAAGGTTTCCTTATTCTCGATTTGATTCAGATTTTCCAAAACTTGTAGTTCAGTTCATGAGTAACAACTTTGCTGAAGATTGCATCATAAATCCAGTTAGTTTTATTGGGATATTCGCTTTTGAATGTATATGAGCATTTTGTATATGAAAATTTCAACCAAACTTCCTATATGTACAATAAACAAAAGCACCAGCCCGTGTAACGTCAAAAAGAGAAGAAACATTCAGAGAGTGGTTATCGCACTAAAAGACACGAGCCTAGATGTTAGCCTGTAGAAAATATGATTTATTTTATTTTTAGTTGCAATCTAGTGGATACGTTGCATAAGCCAGAGTCAATGTTATAATAAGAGTCCCGCCAAGAGTGAAGCCAGAAGTGCCAATCGAACTGTCAAGCGGGGTACCAAACAAGCAAAGTAAATAAACATTATTGTTCCCACAGCCAGTGAACTACAAGTATTGCATTCATTACTGACAATATTCTAGTAATTTTAGTTGAAAAACATTTCTTCGCTTTATTTAGTACATTGTGGTATTTATAAGTTATACCAAGCTCTTATTTGAACATTTTTCAGGTTCTATAATTGTTTTTGTCTCTCAGAAGCTCCGTTATCGACATGAAATTTTTAACTTCTGAATGAAAGTCATCCGATGCTAACGCAAAAAATCTGGTTGCCGTTTACTCTGACGAAAAATAAATCACAAAAAGTGCTGCTTGTTCGCAACATTTTCTCTTGGCGGGACTCTTATTATAACATCGACTATGGCATAAGCATGAAATATTACTTCAATATCAATTCGTATTTATACTTTCTAGGACACCCTATAGTATTTTACAAGGAAAATTAACTTCTTAGAATATTGAAATCAAAAGATTGTGATATTCTTCTAAATATATGTGCCACAAAACCAATCGAAATCAAGAAAACAACTAACAAAAACCATGCTTTTATTTGCCACCACTCCAGTTACTCACCGCTGATCGAGAACGTAGACTGCTGCATATCCTTCTGGCCATCTGGTCGGTGACCCCGTGCACTATGTGGGGTACTGACTTGTGAATCAACGGAAATGATGCTCAACGCCGGTCCGGGAACGTACTTTTCCGGCAATCCGTACGCGTCCGGAATATCTACCTCGTGCTTCTGGTTCAAATCCAAGCTCTGTAGCCCATTGCGAGCCTCCTTATCATCCCCGTTCCGATCGGTGATGCCATTCAGCGCATCATACACGAACGGTGGATTGACTGGCCTTTCCAGGAATGTGCCCTGTCCCTCGGCAACCCGCAGTAATCCATTTTCGACGCACACTCGACCGTGGACGATGACATACTCCGGCACGCCGTGGCACTTCATACCTTCGAAGATGTTGAAGTCGCAAGCCTGATGGTGGGTGGCAGCCGAAATGGTACGCACCTCTTTCGGATCCCAAATGAGCACGTCCGCATCCGAGCCCGGAGCGATACGACCCTTGCGCGGGTAGAGGTTGAAAATTTTGGCTGCATTTGTACTGGTAATGGCAACGAATCGCTGAGGGTCGATCAATCCCGTCTGAACACCTTTCTCCCAGACGACGGACATGCGATCCTCGACTCCGTTGACACCGTTCGGAATCTTGGTGAAGTCGTCGCGGCCGAGTTCTTTCTGGTTCTTGTTGAAGGTGCAGTTGTCACTGCCGGTCGTTTGCAGATCATCCCTAGATTGAACGAAAATGCGATTAGAAACTGTTTTCCGTTGGCAAAAAAAAAGTTAATGATAACGAAACAGAAAAAAAAAACTAAAGCGAACTAAAGAACAGATGAAACACAGAGGGAAGAGATTCCGGTTGATGGTTGTAACTTACAACGCCAGGAACTTCATCAGATACCGCGGAGTTTCCGGATCCGGACGGATCGGCGGACTGGTCACATAGTAGGCCAACACATTAGGCTTAACATTGGTTAGTGTGCAGCCAAGCGAACTGGCCAGCGTTTCGCCGTAGACGAGTAGGCCGCGCCTTCTCGCTTGGGAAACCTGCTCGGCGCCCAGTTTGCTCGTTACCCTGGTAACGTACAGCGGTGTCTTGGTCTGCCGGTTGTGTTGTGAGTGGTTGATGAGTTTTCGATTGATGTTTCACAACGAGAGGTTAGGATCGAATCCGCGAAAGCATGTTCCAACAACAAAAAGATGGTAAATTTGTATGATTATAGTGTGAGTCGAATGGTTTCATTGTCTCAGAATGAAGTTTGAGTTTTAAGGTTAGTTAAAGTGAAAATGGTGCTGAAGGTGACAGACGAGAGTGACAGAGAATGCGGAACATGCAACACGATGCATTAGTACTTAGTACACCACCCGAAAACCTTGGCGTTCTCCATCTTCCGACCAAGAGAGAGAGAGGGAGAGAGAAAGAGTGCGAGCCGGTTACTTACTGAGCGAGCAGTTTCATCAGAAATTCGGGTGTCGTTGGATCCGGACGGAGTGGCGGACTGAGGATATGGGCGGCCGCATGATGCCAGCACCGGTCGGCGTAGTGCGTGCCATCAGTGCCAAGGGCAGCGGCCAGAGTTTCCCCGTAGATACCTACACCGTTGTACCGTTGTCGAGCGCGTGCAAGCTCGATTCCGGCCGATTTGCTCATCACATGCACTACGTACAGAGGACAGTTTGTCTTCATCGTTCACAGTCGGAGATTGAAGATAGAGGTGGAGGATATTCAGGACAAGGTGGGTAACCGAAAAGTACGAAAGTATAAAGGAAGGAATAATCAAATCTTTGCAGGTTATAACGTTCGTTGATGGAGTTTGTGTGCGTGTTATGAGGACGAGAATATTTTGGGAAACATGTTTTATGGTAATGAAATGGGTCGATGATGGAATTGGCGGTGAACTTGAACGAAGTTTGGTGTGGCGTGTCAAACAGTCGTCATTGGTGTGGTGACATGCAAATCAAGAAATTGGAGAACTAGGTCAAGGGTGGTGAAACGTGTAGAATGGCGTTCAGTAAATAAATAAGGATCATCTTATTAATTCTTTTGCAATCTAACCTTCAAAGTGGTTCTCGATGGTCCTCATTCTTTCAATTACTTAACATTCAGTTGTATATTTCAGGATCTTATGTTTTTAAAATTTCATTTGGAGTTCTTAAAATCGAGCCGATGATAAGAGTACATCCCCAATTGTTAATTCAGAGCTTCCCATAGAATGTGTCATTTTTGCATTCTTTCTGCTGTGTGGCAGTGGTGGTAAATTTTATAAAAAAAGGATGTCACTTAATTTTCCCGCATATGTTATCACAGTAACATTTTTTTTTCTAAAAAAAAAGTCTCGTTTCCAAACCAAATCTTCAAAAGATGCAGCACGTCATACCTATGTATAGTCGCTATATTTATAGTCTATAGGCTATCTAGCATAACACGACCAACAACAGAAAATACTATATCAGCTTTTGCGAACAAAACTTTGGAAACCGTTTTCTCGTGACTCAATGCTCAGCTTTGGAAACCATCACCATCAGCGGGTTGAGGAAAGTTTCCCCTATTGGATGATGCAGTTAATTTGCGTTCGATAGGCAATGAAAACACTATCAAAGAATTGATCATTTTGTCAAGCTTCTGCATTCATGTTCCATCAGATGTGTCACAGCTGTTGTTTGCGGTGACATCTATCGGACGCTAGACACAATTTGTTTTCCTATAATTGTTCACAGAGGACACTGCAGTGCAAAACATGTCTGGTACCTCTATATATGCATTTAGATTATTATTCGAAGTCCCTCATTTTTTACACATTCTGCACACAAAATAGCTCACCCCTCACAGAATTTCCCGCCGAATTTTATGTATATTTTGCGCAGAATATGTAAAAACGAGGGACTTCAAATGTTATAGCAAATGCATATATAGAGGTACCATACATGTTTTGTAGTGTTAGGTACTCTATTTTGTAATCTGTGAAAGGGAAATCACAAATCGAGTGTCAACAAAATACATGGCATGTTGAGAGATTGAGGTCGTGAGAGCAAATTTTCTCTCTCAAATTTGAATTTTTTGGCTCTCTTGGAGCTGATAGTAAATTAGGTAAAACTATGTGGGGAAAAATCATTCTTATTTAATTGTAGCTTGTTTAACAATAATTTCTTTTTTTGATCTGAATATGCACCGAAAGCTAATTATTCCCACTTCTCTCAATTTATATATGGGGATTTTTATCACTTCCTACCAGCGGAACAGTGCCATCTCTGTGGAAAATGGTCGAACAAAATGACTAATTGTTTGTAAAAGTTTTCAATTATTGGTCTTCAGTACATTGAATTGGTTCCGCTTCTTGAAAGATCGGAATTCATTCCGCCAGACTATACATATAGCGAATAAAGTCATGCTTAGCAACTTTGCTGAAGACGTCATCACTCTAAATCGACGTTTTCATGGTATTATTAAAAGAGTGTGAAAATTGTTTGGCAAGCACATAACAGCCTCAGAAGACTATAAAAGGCCAATACTAACCAGACTGTTGAGCATCAGTCTTAAGTTAATGTAAATTAGTTATCCTAAACTTAGATTGAACGTACCTGACAATACCGAAGTTAAGGGTTCCGTGATTCATAAACTGACTAGAAGTGAATCTACTCCGTATTATTCGTTTGTGCATCCGTTGAGAAACAGTCCAATCATCATTTCCCTTGTTCGTACAGTGATTGTCCCAGAACTGACCAAATTCACAACACCGAACCAACAAACGATTGAGTGTGCGTGAACAGACGTCTTCGGCAAATTTGTTCATCAGGTCAAGTCCTATTGATTGGTGGACAGAAGTTAAGAATTTTCCAAATCAAGTGTGCAAGTGAATTTCTTAAATATGCTATATCTATGTTTCTGTTTTGGGCAAAATTGATTAGTATGTCAAGAACTTTCTATATGACAAAGCTCCTAAGACATAGCTTATCAGGAGCGTAGTGAGAACATTCTGATCTTCTGTCCACCAATACTATACAAATTTGCCGAATACTGTAAGCATCTATATATGGTAAAGGTCCCAAGATATATCATGATCAGCGCCGTGTAGTGAGAAAATTCGGAGCTTCTTTTTTTCCTTGATTTGTTTTCCGTCGATCTTGTTTTCTGTGCTGAGCACCAATACTACCGACGCCAAGGAGGCAGCTTCTACACTGAAAATAAAATTTCGTTTATGCAACGAAATCGTTCGTTTGTTCTAGATATGTACAATTCAGCTCACTTTGCAGAGCGGATTGGAGCTGATCAGCTCACCAAAACGAACCGATTCTTTAGAACAGCTCGTCAGCTCAGATTGATTTCACTATTATTTCCAAATACTTTTTTTTAAAGTGAGAATTATACAAATCTGTAGTTTTAAAAAGGCTGGTTTATTAAGTTCTACATATGAACTTTCTCTTGTATTTATATTTGTCATAACAATAATAAGGGAGATAGAGCTGAAGATGGATCTAGTTGGCCTTGAATTGTCATCACCGAATCGTCGAAGTTCTCCCACAGAGAAGATACCGATACTGGTGTCAGCTTCTGACCACTTCTGATGTTTTGTCCATGGATGTGGTCATGACCTGCGTCAATTCTTCTATAACGGGTATGCCAGGTTAAACTTCCCATCATCTCCGAAAGCTTGTTTCTTGAACCGCGGGTCCAAAATCATCGCTTACGATACTAGCTCATTTACTTCCCGACCATCAAATCTTTTCTGCAAACCGTCCGCAAGTTCTTTTTTTAGCCTGATTACACTTTTGTGGGTGAGCAGCGTCCACAAATTTTGCCATTTTCTGTAGCATTATGCGATACAGCACACAAGGGACACGTTCTGCCCTGCGGATATCTCGGTTGTCACGTCGTAGAAAATTTTCAACACTTTGACGTCCGAGTTTTCCAGAGACAGTTTTGAAACAAGCAAAGCCAAAGTCGATTCAACCGGTTCTTTTTTTTAAGCAAAATCCGTTCCAGCATGTCAAACGTTGAATTCCTCGAATTCATTATCTTCCACTAAGGTAATAGGATGATACTATTTGCAGATCATTTTTAGCAACTGAGCATGTCGCGCTCTTTTCATTAGACACCGTGGGATGTTTACTTTTTAAGTGTCGTCGTCTTGAACATGGGGCAAAATCTGGGAACGATTTGTTATATAGAAACACGGCGAATGAGAACGACTCAAATTTGAGTTTAGTTCACTCACAATCACCAAAAGTGCAGGAACTCAGCGATGAGTTAATTTGCCTCATGTTTTCCCAGGTTTTTCCAGGATTTTTCAGGGAAAAATTCCCGAATTTGAGAAAAGTAAAGATTGGATTCAGTCAGTCTATTGGTACTACTCCGAGACTGAATAAAATTTTCGTCGATTTCCTCATTTTCCGGCAGATTTTTTAGGTTTTCCACAGGAAACCATGGGACAAATTTTACTCATCGCTGAGTTCCTGCACGAAACGAAAAACAATTATTTTATTCATGTGTTTCACTTATACATTTTGGCCAAATCATCAGCCTTATAAAGGGTGTCCACGATGAAATTGCCACACTATGAAATTGCTCTAACTTTTTAACCGTTGGGTAGAATTTAATGAAAATTTGGGTGGATTTAGTTCATAGTGCATTATTTACATCCTGCAAGTTTTAAAGTCCTGTGATCAAAACTCGCGGAAATGGAGTCGAAAGAACAGCTCGTGCGTGATAAAATCTTGCGCATTCTTCACGAGAACAAGGATCTCTCGCATCGTTCCATCGCTAAAACATTGGGAATCGCGAATTCCACGGTGTCGCGAGTGATTAAGCGGTTCGAGGAACGGTTGACCACCGATCGGGAGCCCAGAAGTGAAGGAAAAAGTATTCCGTACAACACCAAAAATCACAACCGCGTAGTTGGGGCCTTCAACCGAAATCCGAACGCCTCCGTTAGGGATGTGGCTAAGAAGCTGCACCTAAGCCGAAGTTTTGTCCAGAAGGCCAAAACTAAGGCTGGGCTTCGAACGTTCAAGGTACAAAAGGCCCCTAATCGCGACTAGAAGCAGAACAAGTCCGCCAAAACCCGTGCCAGGAAGTTGTACCTCAACATGCTGACGAAAGTTGAATGCTGCATCATGGACGACGAAACATATGTGAAGGCCGACTTCAAACAGATCCCCGGCAACCTATTTTTCACGGCCAAGGATAAGTTTAGCGTTCCGGAGCATGTCCGCACTCAGAAGATGTCCAAATTTGCGAAGAAATTCCTGGTTTGGCAAGCCATCTGCACGTGCGGGAAGCGGAGTGCACCTTTCGTGACCCAGGACACGATGAACGGACAGGTGTACATAAAAGAGTGCCTCCAGAAGCGGCTGCTTCCTCTCCTGAAGGCCCACAACGTCCCAACAATCTTCTGGCCGGATTTGGCCTCATGCCACTACTCCAAGGACGTGCTGAAGTGGTATGCGGACAATAAGGTCAATTTCGTGCCGAAAATGTTCAACCCTCCCAACAATCCGGAGCTCCGCCCCATCGAGAAGTACTGGGCGATTATGAAGCAGCACCTTCTTAAACGACCTAAGGTAGTGAAGACAGTCGAGGAACTGAAGAAAGTATGGGTTTACATGCAAAAAACGGTTGATTCACAGGTTGTGCAGAATCTTATGGCCGGGGTTAAGGCCAAGGTGCGGGCATTTGCGTATGGA